TTTATAATTATTCAAAATTTAGAGGAGCCACCTTAAGCGCAGTCGAGAAACGATGCTCCATAATTCGTCGGCGTAAAACTGAAAAAGTGGAACCGCCACTGAAAAATCGGTACCTCGGCCTGTCACCGGTCGCGGTTAAGTGTTAATATTATCGTGGTTCGTACCTTTTTTTCACTTTAGGCGCAATTACGATCTTCACCCAGATTTTCCGTTAATGCTTGCTCGCGCGCGCGCGAGCTGCGTCGCATGATTGAAACGCGCCCAGTCAAAGGTTTCTACCACCACCACCACCACCACTACTTCGCGCTTCTCGACCGTTCCCTCATTTCGCCCTGGTCCCGTTTTCGCCGTAAAGCTCGGTTTTCAACGAATAAAAATAGAGGGGAAAAAAAAGTAGGAAGAAGAAAAAAAGATATCCACATCGCTTAAACGCGGCTTCTTCCCCCCCCCCCACCTTGTGCCGATGCAACGAGAAAATGCCTACCGTTAATGGAGCACGGAGCAAACGAGGACGAAAGAGTTTCAATGCATTTTTCAGTTTCGACGCGGTTTCCTTTATGTCGACCCCCTTCCCCCCCAACCCACTTTTGTCGTCGTTCTTTTACACTTGCTTCTGTTTGACAATTTTTTCCTAAACGGAGCATCGATTTTTCTAATGAAATACTGTCTCACTGACTTGGTGTTTTTTTTTCATGCGAGTGGTTTTTTGTCGAAACGATCGTGACAGAGAGTTTCCAGAATTACTTTATCGTCAATAATTTCCCAGGAATAAAATAAATTCTGTATTTATTGCAAGTGTGCAATAACTCGAAAAGTTGCAATAGACAATTGTACGCGTATCCAGCAGATTTTCAAATTTGATTATTTTGAAAACGAAGCCACAAATGAAAAAAATATATTCCATATTTTCCACTTATTTTCTCATGTAGAATCACCCCTTCCCCGGTTGTACCATCAATACTAGACACCCTGTATTGCATAACAAGTTATACATACATATGTATAGCGAAGTTGTAGAAAATGTTATGTAACATGATGTTATAACATTTTTCGTGTTATACAGCAAGTTATCCATCAAGTGCGACGCCATTATTAATGATATGATGCTAAATGTTATAAAAAAAAACTTGTTACGGACTTGGTCCAAACGGTATAACTTTGTAACAAATTTAACGAAGTTACAACTTTTCTATAGATAACAATTTGTTACATAGTGTAGACGCAGCTTTAGCAGAACTTCAGGAACCCCCATTCGCGCTGTAGGCGACCGTGTTTACGCGTCTAATTCCACGGGTGGGCCCGATTAAACAAACGTAAATTGAACTGTCACGGGGAATTAGCGTTAACGGGGAAAACCGTCCCCGCGCGAAACCGTTTTCGCGACTTACGCGAATCTCTTAGTCAGCCGCCTACTCCTCCACCTCCTCCTACTACTACTGCTGCGTAACGTGTTCGACTGTATACAGGGTGGACTACGTAACGTGATCAGCATAGATTATTCGACTACTGTTTGATTGAAATTTTGTCTGACTAGTATACAACGATTCAAGGAGACATTTAAGATAATTGTACGAAATTCTTTGTCAATCCCCTGCCCCACCCACAGTTTTCAAGTCACCTTCAGTTCTTTTTATTGATCTATAATTTTTTTACACACATCTTTTAGCGGATACTGAGACTAAGTCGGCAAAAGAGATATGTTAGATTATCATGCTGCCCCCAAACCATGTAGTACGTTCACCATATTTAATAAAATTTACAAAATTTTCTGGTTATAGTTCTGAATTTCTTTTTATCGAATTTTTTCGCTGCCTAATAGTCCCGAAAATGATAAGCAAAATCATACCCAACCGTATTACTACCAGGGCCGTGCCTGGGTTGTTAGCCACCCGTATACAAAAACAATATCGGTAACCGTATCAATGTACTATTATTTAATAAAGAATTTGATATGCAGTGTTTACTTTTACATCTACATATATACATAATTTTATCACTTGAGATGAATATTTTATTCCACATATAACTGCAAAACGAACGTAGTGTTTGCAATAATGATGTTATAATTGATAAATATACCTACACAAAATTTAATCCAATAAATATGTCTAAATATCATATACTATTTTGAGCTGTATATAAACATAGTTCATTCTTCTATACGTGTAGTGTTACAAAAATTACATATAAAATTAATTTGACTGAATTCTATTTGCCTAAAATTTTAATAATCATAAAAAAAGTTTTGATTATTATTCTGATTAGTCAAAATTTTACACATAATAAACTGTTTGCGGCTGCACAGGTGTGGGGGTACCTTTTGCACCCCCGCCAGGAACGGCCCTGATTACTACCAACCACGATCTTACAACAGTAGGATGCTACAGAAGTGTATTACACGAACCTCACCTTTGTAAAAGGTACACATAGTTTTGATTCTCACTGTATGTATTATGTATGGGATTGGAAGTACGGGACGGTACACTACGGTTGGCAGTTATTAACGCCGCTGATCGGTTCGATCGTGTGCTATTTTTAACCGCGTGATTCCACTTTCTTATAATGCGGATCGATGTAACCGCGCGGAATACATACGCGACAAATTCAATTTTTCTAGGTTATCGAGTTAGGCCACTTTCGTAATCGCACGCGACGGGATATCGTGTGTCTTTCGGAAGCCAAACTGATCGTTCTCTTGCGATGAAAAAAATAGAAAAAAATAATATCTGAGAGCTAATAAAACGTTGCACATCATTTATTATTCGATATGTACATTGTATTTTTTATCGTAGTATGTAAAACACCTGAAAGTATGCGTGTAAAAGAGAGTAAGATTGAAAAATTTCTATAAAGTAGGTTCAATCAGGTCAATTGACCCGAATATAGGAAATCCTCGATAAGTGTTCGAAAACTCCTCGGCACTGATAAGGGTACCCAGGTATAACGCTCATTTTTTAATAAGATTTAATACAGTCATAGAATTTGAAATTCTCAAGCCAATAATATTTGTTTCAGCCGCATATGGCGTTTAGTTTATGAAATATTTATTGTTGTGATAGTTTGAAGAAAGAAAAACTAGAAAAGGTTTCAAATCTCAACCCTTGTTAACTGACAATAAGGGCTTCGAGTCCGACACCAAGTTAAAATTACTTCTACCGAGCTTAATATTAATGAATAATCTGAATTATTATAATACAGAATTGCCAATTGATAACAAGAATCACTGTGAGAAACATCCAATCAGAATTAATCGTTTAACCACAAGACTGATCACTCGAAAGGAACGGTTTCGTACGTACAGAGAAGAGATTTTGCAAATTCCCTCTTCTCACCGCTTGAATAATTCGATTTTCCCAAGTTGTTGGGGCATGTCGAAGAGAAAGACACTCAATTAACTCCGAATGTACCTATGATCTCCTTTAATAGCGACAAACAGTTGAAAACAAATTGCAGATCATACGTTAATTCGTGGCTACATTGCGATACATGGAAAACAATTGTAGAAAACTCATTCAAAAGCCTAGATAACACAAGGAATTACAAAAACTTTAATATCGTTTACGGGTCAATTCGAGGAGAACGCAATTGTTAGAGGGTCAACACGTTCACTGCGTTTCCACACGCCCACACACAGATGTATTTTATTATACGCGACATTCTATATTTTTCTAATCAGATTACTGTGATATTTAACTTGTCATTTAGTTGTGACCACAATTCTTCAATACAATTATTCATAATAATCCATTTATCACATCTCGAGTAGCAATGCCTGGGTCAACCTGGATCTGTGGTACTAAAAGCTTTGACCAGCTGAACAATTAATGTAAGCCAGTAATTGTTTATATCAGCTTTGGATAAGTAGACTAAAGTGTATGTATAAGAAAAGACGCATACGGGTCAAAATCGACCCGTTTACCACGACGAGTTATACGGTCACCAAAACCGTCCCACTTTCCATCGAGGAAATTCAATTGAACGTATAGAACAAGATCCCACATACAACCAACAAATCTGTACGAGCATCCATAGACCGTAAATAACAAATAAACCGGACAAAACTCTTGACAAGGTCAATCGGGAGCGATGTTCATCCCCAGATATTACCAGAAAACGCTAAATGGCCGTGATCCGCAACGGTTTGTTAAATTTCAAACCCCCCCCCCCCCTCGCCGCCGCATCACACGCCAAGGAGACTTCTAAAACTCTACGTACACATTGGGCGACACCGATTCTAGGATCGAAGAGAAAGGAAGAAGAAAAAAAGGAAAACAAAACGCAAATTAGCCGCATCGTTTCTCTCGGTTGCATGACACGACCGAAGAAAATAACCGACAAGGTATCATGGACGGTTTACTCCGCGGTGGCGGCGACACATAACGTCAGACGCAATTAATGCCGCTCGGCCGCATGGGTAGAGCGTTGGAGTATATACGAGATTCCGCGGTAGGCGGTGTGCGTGAATCGCGTAGTCCTCGAAGTGGGCAAACAACGGCGGATGACAGAAAAGATGAGAAGGTTCTTCACGGCGTATGGCCCAACCGATCGTTAAAGCGGTTCCCCGATGTGTGTAACGCACTCGTCGTCGTCGTGAACGGAACACGGGGTATCGAGCAACACGGACGGAGTAGCCATCGATCCGTGAGCTCCGTTGAACACGGTTTGACAGGTGTAGCCACTTACACACACACACACACACACACGCACATGCAACACACACACCACGGTTCCAAATCGTCAATCTGGCATTTAAAGGGAATTTTCACGGAATAAGTAAAATACTACTACGTACACCGTATGATGGACACACTACATCGATCCGTGGTCGCGTTGCGCGTGACATTTGCCGCTCGTGTTCCACAACCGGTGGGTACACAGAAGGGAAAAATTTCGAGAAGAATGACAATCGAACACAGGGGAAGGATACATTCGTCAAGTCGTTGATCGATATCTTTGTCTCTTTGTTTTCGTAAATCCTCCGCTGGATGATCGTTACTCACCTGTGCGCCCCGACAGCAAACCGTCAGAACGGCCAGCAATCCGACCACCAGCATCCCCTTCTTCATCCTTTCCTCGCCGACTGACCCTTTTTCTTCCTTTTCTTTTTTAAATTCCCGTGCCTCGAGTACTTATTCTCGTTCCCGGTTCAGGACGATGGCGACTTTTTCCCCCCCCGGGCGATCTTCTGTCGTGTTGTGTATAGATCGACGACGCACTGTGTATGTGTGTTAACCAAAAACCGCAGAGATATTGAGTACGTTTTTTTACGGAACGACTTCAACTTCGCGTATCGAAAGGACACCACTCTCGACCGGCCGTGTACACGAGAGAGCACAGAGCGTACTACTGGGACACTGGATGCGCTGGGTGGGTCGCCTCACGGGGAAACCAAGATGGCGGTTCTAGCGCGGCGCCGGTGCCGCTGAAACGATCCGACCAATCAGAAGCGGTCGGTAGATGACCGCGCCGAGAGGGCGCGTTCACATGCGCGCAGTGGTCAGTCGATAACGTGGCGGGAATTACGGGATTTTTGAAATCTCTTCCGGAACCGCGTCGCGAACGTTGGTTATTCCACGTGTGTAAACGGTGGACCACCGACGACTGGAAATAATTTACGTTCCGCCGCATCTTTGACGTCTGGAAATTCGTGATTTAATGGATGTACTATACTTTATGGAATTTACGGGCTGTACATGTACATATGTGGTAACGCTGAATGAAACAGGAAACTTTATTATTGAGGTTAAGGCTTTATCTTTGTCTCGGGCTTAATGAAATCTTGAATTACTGGAATAAATTTTAAATCATTTGGAATTCTAGAATAGTTTATGAAAGTAGGTGTTCGCATAAACCTTCTGTAGCAGGATATTTATACCATTTTGAGGATATGTAAAATATCGTGTTGTTCTTGAAATTTATTGTTAATTCTGATTGGCTGAATTGTATTGTTTGAACGCACGAGTTATATTTAACATGTGTCATAGTAATTCTATCTTAAACGATTCGGTTTCTGACACTTTGTTTTGACTATAATGTTTAAATATCCCTCTCAAAGACTTATTAGTAATAAAGTATAATTGATTCAATTATGGAAAATATAAACAACAATTTGTCGACGGAAATTATCACTGAAAAATAAAAGAAAAAACAATCGATTAGTAAACATTTTTGTGATACAATGTAACAATTTTGTGGAAAGTACAGTTAAATTATTTATTAAGTATTAATTATGAGGTAACAAACTGCACAATTACCAGCAACTTGTAGTAATAATACATCAAAAGTATTAAACATTTTATCAAATTCATTTCTTATACTGATCCATTCCGATGAAACAAATTCCTGCTAATACATTATCCGTTTGCACGATAAATGATGGATAATTTTCGTTTCAACTGTAATTGATATTATACCGAAGATTAATTAATCCTTTAACAATGACTCCAGCGGGATGGTAATATATTCCTGTTCAACGGAATTATTAAACCATTCGTCGCGACTCTAAATCGGCATCCCGCATAAACTACGTACGTTCAAAAATTTATTACACGTCTGTCAATCCAACAGGTTCACCGTCCACCAAAATACCATTAACACCGCGAAAGTGTCGCTCTCGTCCCCAAAACAGTCGGTATTTTATTATATAAACAGTCGAATTCCTATACAATTATTACCCCGACGGAGCACAAAAATTCAATTGAACACTAAATCTATTGGGCTGTAAGGAAAAACGTTGCAAGTCAGAATTTCAAAAAATTTCGGTTTGTGCATCAATCGAGTTGTAGAATGCAGGTTTTACATATTTATCAGAGACAAATACGTGAAAAGAAATTTTGTATGCTCAAACAAAACAATACAATTCACCCGAATAAAATGAAACGAGCAAAATTATATTCCATGTTATTTATTTTACCAGAAATAGCACACTATTACACACGAGTAATACATATACAGGGTGTCCCATTTAAATGGATTCCCTCGAATATTTCTGAAATTATTTATGATACCGGAATGTGTTTCAAACGAAAATTGAATGGTGTCAAGGGAGACATAATTTGATGTCAATAGTTGTTTTCTAAGCAGAGGTGTAGAGGACATATGAAGGTCAAAACACAATTTATTTAAATTTATTGATAGTCAAAAGTTTCTTGATTTCCTTCCGTATCTTTTATATTTTTTGTGACAACTACTTTTAAAGTTACCTATCATTTAGAGGCCTCCAGTGTCACGTACACCCTTAACAAACATGCTTCGTATGCCTCTCCTAAATTTTATTTTCGCAGTGTTTCGCAGAAAATAATCGTAGAATTTTAGAATCTATTGTCTATTCGATACGAAATAATAGGAACTACAGGATAGTCTGAGCCGTTCCGTATAAATTTGGTTCTGAAAGAAAGGAAAGTGAATGAGATTTATTGTTCGACTTGAGCTCAAATATTATCGTACATATAAATGTTATAAAAACTTGCGAAGGTTCATTAGAATTAGACATACTTTGGCCACAATTGTCCGCAGTAAATATTTTAACAAAACGATTTTTTATGTGCCATACATTCATTAATATTATTATCATTTAAAATTCGACTTTAATATTTACAAAATCTCTTAAGTGTTCATTCCTTGGTGCGTATACCCTACTATGTATTTGGTTACCTCAATTACACATTTGCTTGCAGAAAATTCTTGTAACTAATCCTCTGTTAACTTTTCTGTATCTTACATAGATAAATACGATCACTTCGACAGTAGAACATTGTTCGAATATATTATCGGGTCGATATTGAACAACGACTGTTTTCTCCTTTTTTTCATTGACAGGACCGCACCGTGCGTCGGGTGGTTATTGTCTCCGAAGTGTTCTCAGCGGCAAAAACGACCGAAATAATCGTTATAACACGCCTCTGGCCGAAACCCTATAGTCGATACTAATCGATGATGAAAGTACGACGCGTCATCCGCGTGTCGCAGTGCTCCAATCCTGCTGGACTAACCTCGGTTTAAGGTGGCTCACGTAAATTTTTAATAATTATAGATTCAGTTGATAATTTAACAGAACATTCTTAACAACAACAACTTTCAATTGCTACCACAAAATCGTGAGATCAACGATAAAATTATTGTAAAAGTAACGCTATAAAAATTTCTTTAACACGAGCCTTATGGAACTGTAGTTGATACTGAGAAGTTAATCACTTCTTATTTAATTATAAAAAATTACATTTTCATAAAAAATTAGGTGGTTATAGTTTTTTTTACTGAAATTATGATGGCACGGAAAAAAGATATGTTAATGATGAAATAAACGCGTTTGGTAGTATCTTCTATATATGTCTGCTATGAGCATCAACGTCACTTGTTTTCCTTTGGTATCTCCGAAGAACTTTCCAATTTTTTCTTAAAAATTACAAAAAAAAATTAAATTTTTTTACAAGGAAAACAAATTTTTGTTCTTTCCCCATATTTGTAAATTTTTTTCCCATTTCAGTATCTTGAAGTAAATTGAAATATTAATCATTCGAATTAAATTGGTAAAATTGATAAAAAATATAAAGCGCCATATGGACCCCTAGCTAGATACAACACCAAACACGTGAGCTACCTTAAGAAAAGAAGAAAGAGACAGAAAAATATATATTATATACATATACAGAGTGTAACAAAAATATTGGATGACCCGGAAATGGGAGCACTCATGAGATGATCTGAAACAAGTTTTTCCTTAGCAAAAATGTTATCCGAAGCTTTGTTAACGAGATATTAACGAAAAACTCCGACCAATCACGCGCTGCGATTGGTAGCCAACGTTACCGCGGGAACTCGGCCGGCAGACTCGCGCTCTGATTGGTCGGGATTTTTCGTTAATATCTCGTTAACAAAGCCGCAGATAACATTTTTGCTAAGGAAAAACATGTTTCAAATCACCTCACGAGTCTCCCATTTCCGGGTCCTCCAACATTTTTGTTACACCCTGTATATATGAAAGTCAACGCTACTCCGCAGCGGTCCTCTAAAGATAGATCATTTGTAGCAGCGTGCCCCTCCGATCGATAGACACCTACCCAATTTCTATGGAGACGTATCATCCCGTTTTGGATCCGATTAAGGGACCCCTATTAATATACAAAGACCAACACACGATGGGATATGACATCACGTTGTACGACAAAAGATCTTCCGATAATGTTACGACACACATACACACGTTCTACGATGCGTAAACCGTGTGTGGGCGATAGCCAACGGGCGGATACCAAGACGGTAGGAATCAAATGGGCCGGAATAAAGGTGGACCCGTATGTAGACTGTTTTAAAGTCGAATTGCTTCCCTCCCCCCCCCTGCAATTTTATCGTTGCGTTTACTCTCGGCTCTTGTCATTTTTACGATTTCATAAAACCGAGCATGTACATACAGTAAATCATCGATGAGTGTTCGAAGGCCTCCTCGACAATGACAAGAAGAGGTCTTCAGGTGTAACGGTGACATTTTAACCTTGGAACGCCACCCTGATTACCGGCCACCCCAGAAAATTTGAATCTTGTTGGCAGATATGAAAATAAACATTAGAACATTTAGATTTTCTTTACCGTTCCTTTATTTTTTTTAACAGAAATAACACTGTGCAGTTATTATTTCCTAGGGTATTTAAAGAAGAATTAAAGAAGAATAGTTCGAAAATATTAAATAGTATTTTAAATATTAAGATTTTATTTTGGGTCTCCCATGACCCCACGATGTTACCAACGCGAAAAAATGGAAGGGTGAAATTCTAGGGTTAATGAGGTTTAACACAGTGATAGAGCTTGGAATTCTGAAGTCAATGATACTTTTTTCAACCGGGTATAGCCATTAGTTTATGAAATATGTAATATTCAGGAGGAAAAACAATTTCGAACACTCAACGATCATTTACTGTATTGTGTGTTTCCAGAGTTTCGGGAATTGCGATCTGACTGAAGAATGCAGAGGATGAATGACTAAATGCTTTCAAGTACAAATAAGTCCTGACAGATTTTCCCAAAGCTGGATTAACCGTTAAACCATAGAAATTTTGTATTGCTAGATTCACCATGGAACAAATTTTAACGTGTTTTTTTTTAAATATACATACAATACGAATGAACTCTTGATACGCGCATATTGAGGATGCATTGCTTCTTCAGGTTTGGTAATACGATAATTTTTCTTGCATCAAAATAATCTGTTCTTCTGTGTCTAACAAATACGGACCTGGCGAAAGTTACGAGGAAGGTACGATGGAATTACAGTTTGGCCGGAAACTTTTTCCAGCTACTGTATGTGTATGGGGGCATCAAAATCTTTTAAGGGATCACATAACTTTGAGCTGTTAAATCAGGGGGGAGATCAAACAATTTTTCTGTATATGCAGAATTATTGTTTATTGAAAATTCAACATACACATCCTATTATATATTATTTCCTTAGTAATTTCTGAAAAAATTAAGGTGTATATCTGTCAACAGTAGAAACGGTTAACCATTTAATTATAATTCGTTTCATCAAAACACCATCTGCGATACCAAATATATGTCTGTGGGCTTTTTATCTGGAACAAGTTTTTTAAATTTTATATTAAAGTAAACAAGAAGAACTAGTACTTATCGAAGGTAATTTTGAAAATATTAATGTTTTAGAAAATGGCGGCTGTTTGGAACTTGTAGTTTCCAAAATAAATTGTCAACTTCTTTTGTTACTAAAAAAAAGAAAAATGCACGAATTCAAAATTCGTTTGGTCAAATACTAGATTTTAGTCTTAAGAATATCACCACAAAGTTTGATCCAAATTGGTTCAGTAGCCTTTTCAATATTTCCGGTACCGCTTTTGAAAACTGCATTTCGAGTAAAACGCTTTTAAATAGCAGCCATTTTCTTCTGTTCATAGATACGTAGCTCAAATATTAAGAAATTACTAAGGAAATAACATAGAATAAGATGTATGTGTTGAATTTATAATTAACAATAATTCTGCGTATAGGAAAGAACTCTTCAGTTTTCCCTCTTATTTAACAGCTCCAAGGAATGTAACCCTTCAAGTGCAAAGGGCCTCTAAAGGTCTTCGTCCGACCCTGGGTTCTCCCAACGATGTTAGTCAATCGCCGATCAGAATGATTTAACTGCTCGGCGAAAGCAGACATGTTAATTTTCCAGCTATGGAAGACACTGTAAATTTCTCAAAGAGCCAAATTATTTTCTCAAAAATCACTTTTTCAAACGAATCGTACTGGAAATTACATCCACACCCACATTCGCCTAATCCCCGAACCAGCCAGCGTTTATCGTCTGTTCTAAAATTGAAAAAAACCTCTACGTCGATGTACGATTTCAGGACTGTTGAACGGAAATTATGTTGAAAAATCATATCATGACATAAACGAAAATTGATAAAAGAAAAAATTTACAACACAATTCCCAGAATTTCGGTTGGGGTGGGGGGTGGTGGCTGTGTGCACGACCGCCCTCAAGCATCTCTTGACATTTTCGTTTGTTAACAACCGCGTCCTTTCGATTTCTTTTTCTTTCTAGCTTCTTTTTTTCGCTTTCCTCTATAAACCACTAGACACCAAGAATCGCGCATTCCGTGGTGGTTTTATCTGTCCCTCCTCCTTCCTCTTCCCTTTTATTTTCTATCCACCCTGCTGCTGTTTTCTCTCCGCTGCTGTACTTTGTCCTTTTTTTTTTGTTTTCCTTTACCAGAGAAGAACATGAAAATGCACGAGCAGATAGCCTTGGCCCATACCTTCGCCCGCGTGTGTCGGCCACCGTACCCACCGGGTTACCCTGGAAACGGTATCGATTTCAACCCTCAGCTATGCAGTAGAAACCAGCAGTGGCATACACACACACACACACACACACACACACACACACCATGGAGGTGTCTTTCTCCTTCATTCTCTCACTCTGTCTCTGTTTCTGTGTGTTCGTCTCGAGTTTCGGCAAGACAGCCCTGTTCAAAACCGCCCCCATATTATACAAGAGAGAGGCCGACTTTCGTCTCTATTATCGCTCACGCGTTTCCAGTTTGCTGCCCCTGATTCAGAAAATCGGACCAGACCGTGGAGTCGAGGCGCCCCCCTCCCCTGTAGGCAAAATGGCCACCGATGGTCGAGCAGTTTCACTGTTCAACACGTAAAATACCTTGTAACCGTCAACTAGGCGGTTCTGATAGATCTTTATGTGCTGAATACGAATCTGCCAACGGTGTTTTGCCCCAGAACGTACAGTTTTTGAAAGAATCGATATTCAGAAACTGGCCCATTAATAAGCATTTCGTAAATTTACTGAACCATGATTGGTGAATGTTGCGCCTCATTGGGCGATTAAAACATTATCAGAAAGGTGTTTATATCGATGGAAGCCTATTAGAGTGTACGGGAAGCATAAACATTTTCTTCGTAGGTTAACGTAGGCTTTTTGAAGAATAACTCCTCCGAAGGTCATTTGGAGGTTAACATATTGTATATGGTTGAACTTGTCTTTGCATTAAATGTAATGTTACGCTAATCGAAATGCGTTATCCCATTTAAAAAAAAAGAACGACGATGACCTTGAATCAGCGGAATATATGACCTTGAGGACATTTTCTCACTTACACATTTTCTCGTGTTATTAAAAACAACGGAGATATTTCAGGTGAAAGTCTTAGGTGACTCAAAACAGTGCATATCAAATTCGTAATTAAATAGTATTAAATTAATAAGGGCGGCGATATTGTCTTTGTACCCGGACGGCCAACAACCCAGGAAAGGCCCTGCCATTGTACACACACGAGCAAACTCGGCTGCCACTAGGGGAAAAAGTGACCTAAGGGAAAGACCTCCTACTACTTGGTCTCGGAGTTACTGAAATTTATGCCAAATTAACATTCGGTTTAACATTTATTTCAGTATTTGAAATAAATTTATCAAGCGGTAAGAGGCCCTTACCCCTACATTTTTTCCCCCTAAAGGAAGCCGAGTTTGCTCGTCAGTGTACATCCACGAGCAAACTCGGCTTCCGCTAGGGGAAAAAATAACGTAGAAAAAGGGCCTCCTACCAATTTGTAAATTTATTTCAGGTACTGAAACAAATGTTAAACCGAATGTTAATTTAGCATAAATTTCAGTAATTGCCAAAACTAAATGGTAGGAGGCCCTTCGCCTACCTCACTTTTTCCCCTAGCGGAAAGCGACTTTTCTCGTCGGTGTACTACACTACTTGATAAATTTATTTCGAACATTGAAATAAATGTTAAAATGCATGTTAATTCGGCATAGATTTCAGTAACTGCGAGACCAAGTCGTGGAAGGTCTTTCTTCTATGTCACTTTTTCCCCAAACGGAAGCCAAGTTTTCTCGTGAGGGTACATTGCGTAGAAAATGTAGGTACGCGTGCAGCGACTACAGATATAATAAGACAACGGATGCCACTGTTATCGAGGGGTCATGAATCTGTGCTTCGAGAACGCGATCGCCATTTACTCTATCTTACCATAAGAGTACGAACATATTCGCATTGCAGCATACGTGTAGGTATTAAGAGTCGATGTCCCTATTTCTGCTCAGTACGCATATTTTTTTTTAATGTAAAAAGTTAGACACTAAATTAGTTATACAAAAAATTATTAAAAGTAGTTCAGTATTTCCGTACAACATGCTGCAGCCCGCTGTTCAATAGATGCCAGCATTTTAATAGAAATAAATTTAATAAGTGTGTCCATGTTAAAGGAACGTGATTTGAGCGATTCCGTTGCGATCGTGAGTTACTACGTGAACGCTGCGTTTTTACTAAAAAAAAACTTATGGAATCTTTAATATTGTTCGCCATTTTCCATTTTCGCTGAGCACAAATAGGGACATGCTGGTGAGCAGAAATACAAGCATTTTCATTTTCACTGAGCAGAAATGGGGACATTTTATACTTCGTATTAAATTAACTATTATTAAGTTAAAATGTTTTCAAAAATACTTTTATTTAAATTTGATTATAAAGGGAGGTTTAGATTTTATATTCAATAAGGTATTTTGTCCATTGTTGCATAAGTAAATATTAAAAATCAATTTCTGCGATAGCAGAACTCTTATATGGTTAGAAATAGGGACATTTACCTTATATACCTAAGGTATCGAGTTCAATGGATAGCACAGACGAGAATCTCGTCTGTGGTGATGGAGACATAACTCACTCTGGGGTCATCAGGCACCCAAAATCCATGACCCCTCGATAACAATGACATACATAGTCTTATTATATCTGTAGTCACTGACGCGTGTAATCAACGCGCACGATCGCTGTTCGTTATCATTTTCGACAATCTGCGTTTTCACAAACGCACTCGTTAGCGTAATCTGAATAATCGAGCGACGCGCATAAGAATAGTGCGTTGAAAAAGAAAATTCAATTAATTCGTCGTACGCACAAATAGTGCGTTGAAAAAGAAAATTCAATTAATTCGTTGTACGCACAAATAGTGCGTTGAAAATAAAGGGGGAAAAAAAAGAAAATTCAATTAATTCGTCGCATCGAGAGAGACGGCCGTAGCGGAGAATCGTGACGAAATATTTAGCAGGAAACCAGCGGGATTACGCTAATGGATATTGTAACGTCAGATTTCAGTTCTAGAAACAGTGCAACACCGGTTAATTTAGGTACTTAAAGATTAAAGGGGATGAGGGTGTTAATTACGGTAACAGTGCGCAGTATTTTGCACGCCATTACGCCCCCCCCCCTCCCACTCAACAAAATGGCGACGCAGAGACATTAGTTTTTTATTCCACGCGGAGTTCGAATCGTTTTATTATGCAATGTTGTACACCGGACGACGAAATCGAGTTAACATCCCACCGATCGATCGATTGATTGGTAAAATATCATAGTTTCTGTTCTTCTTGGACCTCGTACAGTCCGCAGAGTTTATTGGCCGGTACCGCTTTGTCTGAAAAGAAGGAAAAGGAAAATAACATAAGGCTAACGTGAATGCTGTTCGGCGAGATTTTTTCAAAATATTTTTAGTGAGATTACGGGTAGCGATGGGTTATCCAGAATTCGTTCAAAAACATGTTCAAAGTCCCGAGGAAACGATCAAACAGTTCGAACAGTTGAAACGTTCGAAAAAGTTTCAACATGTTTGAAGCAATTCGAATCCTGTTTGAAAACGTTTGAGCTTGTTTGAATATGTTCGGAACGACAGAGTCCTGTTTGAATACGTTTGAATATGTTTCAAACGTTAGAAATGACCGAATTCTGTTTGAAAAAGTTTGAACTTGTTTGAATATGTTCGGAATGACCGAGTCCTGTTTGAATACGTTTGAAATTGTTTGAAACGTTCGAAACGAGCCAGTCTTGTTTGAATACGTTTGAATATGTTTCAAACGTTCGAAACGACCGAATCCCGTTTGAAGGAGTTTGAACTTATTTGAAACGACTCGAATCCTGTTTGGAAATGTTTGAGACAGGTTTGAAACGTTCGAAACTACCGAATCCTGTTTAAAAACGTTTCAATTTATTTAAAACGTCCGAAACAACCGAACACCGTTCGAACTGTTCGAAAATCTTGCGTTTAAAATTGTCCAAACGTGTTTTGGACAGTCTGTTCACGGACCCATCGCTAGACAGTGGAGGAGATGGGGTGGGTAATTTATCGAAGCTTCGTGTGGTCCGTTAAAGCTGCACGATAATAATATTGGATACGATCTTTCTCGTTGGACCCTTGAACGAAATTGCACGGAGACGAAAATTAGCATACCTATCATCTTCGGGTAGGGCAGATTAAGGTTGTTCATTATGTCAACAAATTCATTTAGAGATTTAGTTAATCTCGGATTAAAGGCCTTCTCCTCGGCGACGGTGGTCATCGTTCTCCCGTTGTAATCGTGGGCCGGGTACAGCCTGCAATTCTCCGGCAGCGTAAAAATTCTCTTGTGAACAGAGTTGTACAGAACTTCCGCGGAGCCACCCTGTAATTTTCAAGTCACAATACCAAATTATGAAACACGAAGAAGGGGAATAAGGTGAGGGATGAAACAACATCCATACTATATTGACAAAAGCAACGGGTATTGTTATGAAATCCTCCGTGGACAATATGGGTCGTTGACAATCCATACGAAATTTAATTTCTCCCGGACATTTCCTCCGAATATTTCTCTTCTTCATTGAATACTACGCAATTCACCCAGGCCTGGATTAAGATTTTTAGAGCCCAAGGCTATCAAACCTTTCGAGGGCCCCCTTGGTTAAAAAGCACGGGAGGGGGGGGGGCAAAACCTTTTTTTAATAAAACATACAATAAAGTACATAAATCCTTAAGATTTGAAATTTATTTTAACTTTTAATCGTAACGAACGCTTGTTTATAACGAACAATGCTTCGTTATATTTTAACAACTTTGGTCTGATTTATTTCTACATTTACTGAAACTTCTAATTACTTCAAAAGAGAAACAGGAAACAAAATTCCATTCAATTATTTATTTTCCCCCGCCCCTTCTCACCATCCCATTAATCCGACGCTGATTCACTTCGACAGTTTTCCTCCATGGCGTCATATTAAAAATTTTAATGATAAAAATAAGGATACATCTATGGCACTTGTAAAAGCTACAGCTAGGCGGTAGGTTCGCGAACAGACTACATATTTCAAACATGTTTGGTCTGAACATATGACGCGGGAGACTATACAGTTCAAGTCGAGTCCGATCACGGTAAGTTGTTCGAAGTGAAGATCGCTTACCAAACAGCCTGATGACGTTCTGCGAAGTCCAAAACGAATCGCTGCAAACTTCAAACCGTTAACATCCGACCGACTCAAGGTGTTTGGGGTATCGAAGGCTTCACGGTCAGTTATACAATGACTCAGAAGTCTGATCACGAAAGGTTATCATTTCTATTTAACCGAATTATTTACCAAAATAGCAATTTTATTTTAAAATTGAAAAAAATTCATCACCAGAGGATGATAAAAAGTAATGATACGGAGAATATGTGAGTAGAAATTACATAAAACTTTTGATACCTAATTGTTGTTTCAGAACAATGTGAACGAATGTGTGAGTCACTATGCAGAGTGTTAATAAAAATGTAGGACACTTTCACAAGGTGGATTCTACATAGCAAATTAAGAGAAAAATCAAGAATGATAATTGCAGTTGCGAACGTTACACGTGAAACTTCTTTACGCAGCACATTAAGGTGCGTATCCACTTGTTGCGTATCTTTGTATTGTATCACCGTTGTATATCAATGTGGACGGACAAGCGTTGCATCGTGGCGTATGAAAATGCATCGTTTGGTGATACGATACGATGATACGCAATGGTGATACGATACGAGTATACACAACAAATGGATACGTACTTTTAGCCATCTTGAACGATAAAAAAAAATCGGACGACAAGGTCCTTTATAGTTTCAACATTTTAATTGAATGACTCAACATCGATCGACTCGATCGGTCGACCAAAAAGTTGCCTAATGTAAACGCCGCTTTACTTGTCGATAATCTCCTTGCTTGACCGGCTTGAAGTTTGGAACGTTCCATCCACTGTTCGCCAAATTCAGGGCGGCTCGAGAGTTAGAGTTTGGAGTTTGTAATGTCATCGGACTGTTTGGAAGCGATCGTTAGTTCAAACGCCTTACTGTGATCGATTTGAACTGTTTCGACTGCTCGTCAGAAGTGTTAAACGCGTCCTGAACAGTTCGATTACTCACCACCAGCTAGCTGCAGCATCTAAATCACAGTAATGCGAGGGACCACGCGCGGAGCCACCGCGTGCAATATCGAACCAACACAATCTTACGTCAGCGCTTCCCTATAAAATCCTGTCGGTGGATTTTAAGATTGAACGCTCGACGGTTAATAAATTACTAACTGCGCAGAACCGAGGAGTTTCGAGTGCTTTTAACATGCGCACCTGATTGCGTCAATCGGACCGCCGGATATACAGGGTGGTCTAATAAAAATTAGCACTTGAATACATATCTCCGTTACTTGTAGAGTTATGTAAACACTTTATTAACAAAAATTGTTCAATATGGAGTTGACCACAATATGGCAGTAATAATTCTTTTTACAGCTGGTGGAGTTTCGAAGATTTCAAGGTCACCTTCACTTTTCTAAATGAAATCATATATTTTTTATTCATTATGTGATGCAACTCGACATTCTCTATAAAAAACAGTATTAAACTATGTACGTCGACGCATTATTAATTTATGAGATACGTAATAAGGTGACCTTGAAATCTTCGAAATTCCTTCAGCTGCAAACAAATGATTGCTACCTTATTATAGCCTCCTCTATGTTGAACAACTTTTGTTAATAAAGTTTTTTCATACCTCCAAATAATGGAGATCTTCAAGTGCTAATTCTTATTGGACCACCCTGTATATGTATACATATAGACCGCACCGCCTTGAAGTTTGGAGAACAAATATAGCGTGGAGGAACATATTAAATCATAATACCAAAGGAAGCTGCATACTAATTTATAGACTTATTTCATTCTAATCATCACAAAACATTCCGTCGTTCATCAGACTAACCTGAAAATCAGTTCGTCCGCATCCACGGATCAAAAGTGCATCGCCCGTGAAGGCACACCCTTGCTCGTCGCAAACATAAGTCACGCAGCCTATGAAAATAACAAAAAAATTAATAAATCCCCTATCCTCGTGTTCGGTCCAGATCCTAAAGATCATCCCTTCAATTTAAATATTTCACGCGTGTATGTATAAAACGACGAAAAATGTCATACAGAGTTTGTACAAAACTGTAAAAATTCGATATATAAAGGAAATACAATTTATATGTGTAAAAACTGTAGTTAATATGTCTTCATACTAATGGTATCTGTATTTTTATAATAGTGCTGATTTATGAATATAAACAATTTGTTTTACACTGCGCAAGCTACTGCGAGTCTTTTTCATTCACGATATACGGGGTGTCTCAGCTAATTTAATCACCTCGAATAATGACTGAACGGTATACTTTATGAAAATTTTGAGGCTCGGAACTTAAATGGCATCAAGGGACACGTCTTATAAGGTACGTGTTTTTCTTGTGGATGGAGGCATTTCAGAGATTTCAAGGTCACTTTAATTTTTTTAACGAAATGACCTATTGTTTGTACCATAGATCAATAGAGTATCACATTCTGAGTAAATATATTTGGACCTTCATACGTCCTAAACCTAATAGTTAACGAGATATTTAAAGAATAATTTTTAATACATACTTACTATCTGGGAGCTATAGCTATAGGTACTCGAACTGTTGCCCCTCAACTTCAATACAGCGATTTCAATAGTGATTATTTTGTAAATATCTCGTGAACTATTAGGTTTAGAGCATATGAAGGTCAACACATTTATACTCAGAATTTGATACTCTATCGATTTATGGTACAAAAAATAGGTAATTCTGTTAAAAACAATCAAGGTGACCTTGAAATCTGTGAAATACCTCCACCCACAAGAAAAGCACGCGCCTTATAAGATGTGCCCCTTGATGACATTTAAGTTCCACGCCTCAAAACTTCCATAAAGTGTATTATAAATCCGATGAAAACCAGATTCATGCATCGTAGGGTTAATACAAGACAATGCATTGACCTTCCGTGTGACCAGGAGTGGGCAACACTCGTATACAGTGTCTGCCGAAACTTATTCGATCATTCGGATTCAGGTGAATGTCCGCCTTAGCACCGCTGGTACGCGATATCGCTGACTGACAGCCAGGTAGCAATGACTTTAATCTTCCTGTTCCGGTGATATGATCAGCGTGCATATGAGTGTTTACTGAAACAAAAAATCAGGCACGCTCGTTATTTGTGCCTTTTTTTTAAATGGTACAAATCTGATGTTTCTTACTTCGAGATAGGGTGGATGCACCAGTAAATTAACATTATATACAGGGTGTAACAAAAGTTTTGTAGGTCTCTAAAATGAGTTACTCGTGGGGTGATTTGGAACAAGTTTTTCCTTAGCAAAAATGTTATCCGAGGCTTTGTTAACGAGATATTAACGGAAAACCCCGACCAATCGAAGCTCGACCGGCTTGCGTAATAAAAATAACCATGAATAATAATAATTAATAATAATAATAATAACTTTTAATAATAATTTAACATGTCGATCGACATATTACTTTGATCTCGTTAAATAAATTCAAATGAATGTAATTGAATTGCCGCCGAAAGACCTTTCCCGCGTCTCAATCAATCGGGGGAAGACTTCAAGTGGCAATTTCAACAATTAACCGTTCCACTCACTTAACAATGCTCGTATTGCAACGAATTATCGAATTATTAACTGCTCCATTACCGTTCGATAGAATACCACTTCAGTCAAGAAGTTCGAACCGACACGAGGACGTTTTTGACCCAGTGACGTATCAACCGTGGCTCATTAAGCCGCAGAGATTTTTGTTTTTTTTTGTCGTCACGATCCACGGATACAGTGCAATCCAATCGGAATAATTGTTCGGCAATTTAGTTATTCATTCGTTACGATAAAGGTAAATCAGTAAAATGAAATATTTAAATAAGCGTCACGTATAAATACGACACGTTGCATATCCTTTGAATAAAATGTAATAAAATCACACAACCATGGTAAAACGAGAAAATAAAACGATACAATTATGTCAACTATATAAAATCGACTTTCATGTGGAAATTTGAAAACGTTGAAATTTCATTGAAATGTATAGGCTTTTAAGTAAAATTTAATCTACCAGGTTTAATTGATAAATATAATCAGTGGGCATAAGTACGCATATTGGTATGATTTAATTAGCGTAATTATTAACTGAGAGCCAACGTAATTATTCGAATAACGAAAATACCGTATTATGACATCGTGCCGTAATGCTATAATGACATTAATTAATTAATATAAGTAATATCGAAATAAATTCCGTGACATCGGTGTGCGATGAACATTGTACACGTTTTATTAATTTCAAAATAACTTTTTATATCATAAATCGTATCCTCTGTTGAAAATTTGTTCAGTCGGTATAATGCAATATAGCGAACAGAATCTTTGAATCTTTTACCGTATCAGGATTCTCGGTACAAATTACAAATACGTTCTGCTTACCAGCGTATTTCAAGGTTAATCCCAGTTCCCGAATAATACTTTTATCGCGTTCGGCCCATTCAATGACTGGATCAATTAAGATCGCTGTCTTATCGTTGACGTCAGCCAGCAGATATGTGTACGTGCTGGACACAGGATCGAACATCTGAGAATTTCAATCGAAAGTTAAAAAAAAAGGGGGTAAATACACAGGAAAGTAAAAATATATAAATGTTTTTACAACAATAACATTTGTATCTGTGGCGATAGTCGTTCAAAATATATCCTTGTAATAAACTTTACGTTAAATGCTGTTTAAATGAAATCTGATTTTCATTTGAATTTTTTGTAAATAAATGTTTTATAGTGCAATTACTTATTTTTTTCTTTAAACGGAAATAATTTCTTTCGTATAACGCTTAAAATGTCGTGAACAAAGGAGGAAATTCGTATTTCCCGCCATTTATAATACATAAATATTTTAATTGAATTACAAAAGAAGATTTCACATTGGGCATTTCTATTAAGAAGCGTGTAACAGTTTCTTTATTGTATTCAAAGCAGACTTTCAAAAGATTTTGCAGAAAGTTAGCGAAAAATTAATATAACTCTAATTAACATTGTAACGTTTGTACGGAATAAGATATAGTTAAATATGTACTGTAAAATAATTATTAAAAAACACAATATAATAAATAACAAATTACATATAAGAATACATATGTACAGAAATGGGGGATGATAGATATATATTGATTTTTTAAATTAGTTATTGAAATTTCAAGCAGATGTCGCTGAATGCGCCACCATTGGGATAAAACCGGCATAGACGTTGGGACATTACGTGCGCATTTCTTGACTTACCTGACGGAAAAGAAAATCTTTTGAAAAAGGGATTGATTCCGTTAATGCCGTAGCCATGCTGCAATTCCTCTGAGTAAAGAATTGGAATTTAAAGAACGACGATCTTACATTCGACTGACACAAAGTTTTCAACAGAGTAGCACTCATTTGTACGACACCATCAGACTTTCCATCCTATATAAAGTGCAAATTCGTACTGACAGTTTACTACTGGCAGCACTGACGGTTCTTCAAGTCAAAATGACGCAATGATGACCATCATCCTGTTTATCGTGTCTGTATAAATAGATACAAATTATCTTATATACTAATCTGTAGTAAAATACATGACATGGTAAGACAAGTATTATATACTTGCAACAAGAACATGGAGCATTTGTATGTAACTACGAGAAGGTCATTTCGTGAGTAGGTAATACAGATAAGTTAGAGTATGATATAATTTACTATATTAAAATAAAGTTATATTATAATATAACAATAATAAATTTCTAATAGACAGACGTAAATGTAAAAAAAAACATTCATAATCGAGAGGACAACGTTTAGTGGTTGAGAAACTCATCTATGTATTAAAATTTCATGACCGCTTCCTCCTAGTCAGCCATCTTGCAATTTATGTTCTTCTTACTCCATCTTGACTGTTCTCTTTCCGGTTAGCTTTCGAGCAAAGGTGTGTACTTTTGGCAATTTTCTGTAAACTTTGCTGTATTATTCTAAAAAAAGGTAACATAATTTACAGCAGGAAGCAGTGAATGTAGTATACACGTTATGTATAAGTAACGTGACATAGTGACACGCTTCAATACAGTATTGAAACATTTGTTGTTACAATAATACACGTGTGGCATGTAGATGCAGCGTTTATATTTATTAATTGATTTTATTTTAAATATTTGTTTCAGATGCCTTCCGTAACACTGAAAGATGTTGACCAACACAAGTTCGTCAAGGCTTTTGCCGCGTTTTTGAAAAAGTGAGTGATTGTTTTTAATGGAATCTACTTAACCTCAAACGGTTTCAGTATACGTTCGAATTGATTGTAATTGTCAATGATCTTCTTACGTATAACTATAGCAAGAGCTGTTTATTAATTCGTCATCAATTTTAGAACAGGCAAAATGCGTGTTCCGGAATGGGTGGACATTGTAAAATCGGCACGTTTCAAGGAACTCGCACCGTACGATCCAGACTGGTACTACATTAGGTGTGCTGCATTGGTACGTCACATTTACATCCGTAGCCCGATTGGTGTTGGAGCAGTGACAAAAATCTTTGGAGGTCGTAAACGCAACGGCACACACCCTAGCCACTTCTGCAGATCCGCAGGTGGAGTAGCCCGCAAAGCTCTTCAGAGCTTGGAACAACTGAAACTCATTGAAAAGGCTCCACTCGGTGGACGCAAACTTACCAGCCAAGGTCGTAGAGATTTAGATCGCATTGCTGCACAAGTCAAAGCAAAAAGCAAAAAACAACTGAAAATGCAGGAGACGCTTGTTCTATAATTTTTTGTTTCTATAATAAAAATGAAAAATTCATACACGATTGGCTTTATTTCCATCCAAACCTTACATTATTGTATAATAAACATAAAATTTGTATTACCTATATTGCACATCTAATGAGAATTTTATAGTGAAAATCATAAAACTTACAAAAACTGAAGAGGCTGATAAAATCATGAAAATTTTCTTAGGTGATATAGTATACAAACTCAAATCTCCGCGATACCACTATAAAATAAATATATTAGCGCGCGAATTATAAGTAATCCTAAATTATTAAAACTTCCGAGAATCAATTGTTAACTACGTTTTAAAATTCATATGTTTAAATACTTATGAATTTACAGGTATAGATAGCCAATACCAAGGAGAATAAAAGAAATATTTTTCGGAAAGTTAAAGGTATATGATATGAGCCTAAAACAAAGGTAAGAAAGTAGTACACCATAAAAGTTAATGCAAGACATTAAACACGCTTTTATTGAAACCATTCTTGTCAAATTCGCGTACAGGATATCTCAAAAACGATTTAATCATTGGTTTCGTCGAAATTATGAAACAACATGTTTTTAATGGGAGCTTAAACTTTAGAAAGGTAACAAATTCGAAAAAGAATATCTTTTCACCATCAAAAACGTAGAAAAAACCGAAATACAATTGAAATTTTATTTTTCGAACAGCGTTATTTTGTTACGTTTTACTTCTCTTTTAATTATTTACATTCAGGTACCTAACAATTTCACGCTAACTAAACTCAATTTTGAATCAATGATTTCTGGAAAGTTGTATAGACGTTACGTATAGACGCCATTATGCGCCAATTATTGGTTTAAAAAAAATATGCAGTAGCCCGTTACAAAACCAGTATTCATTGGTATTTCACCGAATTTCGGAAAAATCTCACCGATATTTTTCCAATGGAAATTCATGAGAATGATCGAATTTTCATAGATGGTAGAAGTGGCAACTCACCATTAGATGACGACACTTTCGATTCCGCATACGAATGGACTTTCTCCTTAATCGTGAACTTAATGGTGAAGGTATGGGCGTATACAGCGCCGCCTCAGTAAAACGTTGATCGTGGACGTAAACGTTTCGGCACCGATCAGGCTGATTTTAGATCGAGCGGCGAGTAGGTGCAAAGAAGGTTTCGTCCTGGGACGCAACCGCGTACGCGCGTAAAAGTGTGTATGCATCGTGAGCCGCGGAAAGAGCAAAAGAAGGGAGCGAAATATGTTTCCTCGCGGCCACTGCGGGAAACCCCGAGCGGCGAGAATGTTAAGGAAATAATCGTGTCGCGCAAGTGTCTCTCGCTGGTAGGGAAGACAGACCGTGTGTTCAGAGTTTCCTTCTCTCTCTCTCTCTCTCTCTCTCTCTTGCTCCTTTCAACCCCTGTCCCTCTCCTTCTTGCCTTTGTGGCCCCCTCCCCCCCTCGCCCCGTTCATCGCTGGATCCGTTGCTCGCACCGGGACGACCGACGACGTTTACCGTGCGTCACGGGAAACGGCATTGGGAGGAGACAGAAGGTGACAGCCCTCCCGCGGAATTTATGGTGCGCACGGGCGAAACGGTGAAGTGAGTGGTGTTGCCGAGGTGAAGTGAGGTGAGTGCGACGGCACCGAGTGCTCCCAACCGGTGGACATTCCCGCGGAGCTCGTTATATCGTTCAGGCTTAACATAAGCAGAAAAGAGGAAAAAATGCCGGGCCTAATCGCCGTCAGCGAATTCGTCGAAGAGACCAGGGAGGATTACAACTCGCCCACCACATCCACCTTCGTTTCGCGAATGCCACAATGCAGACAGACGATCACGTCCCTCGAGGAGGTAATACCCCTTACCCATATTTTATCAGAACACCCCCCCCCCCTCCACCTCTCCCTCTCTGTGGCGCTTTCCTTCTCGTGTAACACTTCATATATACGCATATTCTACTGCCCGTTTTGCACCCTCGTGTGTTACCCAAGAATCCGATCGGTGGTCGAGCGCGTATTACGATGCGTAGGCGTTTCACAATTGTTCCGCAGATATCTGTCCCACCTGCAATATCATCGACCGCGATGGATGTGTGGTCAGTACTGACTTGGTGAACCAATATAATTTATAACCTGTAAAATTAGCCCCTACGGACCGTCATCAATTCAATGCGATGGGACCTAAGCAGGACTTAGCACTCAGATGCAATATTCGCTTCCATTTTAAGTTTTATTCTGATTTTTACGGTGAAAGTAATGGAAACGGAATTTAAGGATATATTTTCTACCGTTGTGGGTAACCTCTGAGACCTCCTTGGAAACTTCTACAAGGAAGTTCGTCCAGAGACGCAAAAGATACTTCTAGGGGTCATACAGCAAGATTTTACCAATTCGTTACGTCTTGTACATTAACTATAATCTCACCAAGGATCCGACCAGTTGTCGAGCGCGTGTTCCACTAGCGCGTATATGCATACGTTTCGGATTTACTCTATGGATCTGTCCCCTACCTGCGAATTATCGTCGATCGCGATAAACGTAACGATTTTTTTTCTCTCTCTCGGTAGAACGTCAGTGGTACATATCCTTTTGCGACCGTCTCTGACGGGACACGAAACTTTTACCGTCGCTCTGACCTGCATTTTTCGCGATTTCCACGTATCGATGATGCAAATAGCATACCACGAAGTCGTACCCACGGATTTCCAGTTCGGGCGATAGCGCGCAGACATGCCATCCATCGGTGCGTTTGCGTTTCGAGCGTGCTGGCAAACGGGAAAATACCCAGTGATCGCTAGGAATTTTTAATTGCACATCGCGTTCGAGTGCGCCGAGCGTGGAACGGTTATACGTTTCTCGGTCAATCGACCATCCGACTTGGTTGGTCAGTCGTACTATTTTCAAACGTATTACATACCGGTATTACGACGGAAACGCGTGTGCTTTCGGTACGCGTGGGTGACGTGCAGAGTATGCAATCATGCATCGCAGGGATTCCAGATTTAGATTAATTAGCAGGATAATGAAGACACAATGCGTCCGACAGTTGCAGGTGCCTAGACAACTCGTTCAAGAACGAATGTCCCGCGCATAATTCTTTTCACACAGAGAGACTCAGATAATGGATATTTTGTAACAGCGAAACCGTAATACACGTCGACATAATTATCGGTGAAGAATGTTATTGCGAGAAGCATTTCGTAATTTAACGGCCATCGTAACTCTTGTGAGCTGCACCGGCTAGGTGAAATATATGTAGTGTCGGCCCTGCCTGCAGGACCCGTTTTCAAGTTATCCGAGGTCGTGAAAGATTTTCCACCGTTTGCTGGAAGAGCGTATGGCGTCCATAGGTTTGCGGCACACACATAACCTATTCGTCGAGTCATTCGGTCCTCGAGGGAACATCCCTATGTAGACGCCCGCGTAAAACAGTATTGTAATGTATCGTCGTAGGAACTTTTTACGACCAGAATTTATTGACGGATGATAATTTTTATGTCTTCTTTTTCTCGCGGCAAAAACAAAAATGTTCGTTGCAAGTCCAATAAATCTCGTGAAACTTCTTGCACCGATGGAAATTAGGTCACCGAATATATACTACATACGTATGTATGTATGTATACACGTAGTTTGTCGTGATTTATTTCTACAACCTATGAAATTACAACCAATAAGCGACGATAAGTCGAACATTATCGTTGTGACACCGCTCTTTTGCATATTATCGAATCGTGGGCGTATTTTGTAACTGGCTGTGGTAGATAGGGAACTTCGCAACCCGGAAAGTGTGCCGTGGCGGCGCTCGGAAGTGGAATTTATGCATGGAATTATTAAAGTTTCGTTTCACAAAGGAGAACCGGGGAAAAAACTCTTGGCATCGATTTTAAAGCCGATAGCGGAGAGTCGTTTAGAAACCGGTTAATTAAAACACCTTTGTGATACGTATTTGCTGTTGTAATTAGCGAATAATTAACTGAATGAGTTAAATATGATCGCTTAAGATTGACGGATCACGTATATACAGAGTGGGCTGTATAAAAAGTGTACTGATACCACTTTTCAGGAGATCATTATCCTCTTTAGTACTTTACAATTGTTCTGTGTACCATCTAGAAATACCTTGGAAAATATGCATCGTAGAAGGTATTTATTAAAATTAACAGACTTTTTCAACAAATAACTTTACACTTTGTTATTTGGGGTTTTATTGTAAAGTGTATTTTGTTTTACATTAAAAATGTGGGCAGTACTATACTTTCGTCGCTTTCTGTATAAGAATTTATGGTGATTATTGAGAACATGGTACTCAGCACTGATTTTAATGACCTTGAAATATGTTATGAAGGTCATTATTCTGAACAACTATTCCCAATACATATAAGAGGCGGTCTGCTTAGTTTCCGAGATGTTCACGAAAAACTGCTCCTATTAGTGTGTACATACATTGAATTTCGTGTATAAGTGCACATTCATAACAATATATGTATGCATCAGTATGGGGCGACCGCCATTCTTTTGTTTCTAAACTAGTTTTAACCTACTCAAATCAGTATAATGCTTTGCACAGTATTTTTTTGTTTTTAACTAGCTCTAACCGACTCAAATCAGTATAATGCTTTCCACAAGTATTTTGTTTTGTTTTTTAGTTTTTCTCGAATATCTCGATAGACACAATGCAGTATTACTGATTTGAGTAGGTTAGAGCTAGTTAAAAAGAAAAAAAATACTGTGCGAAGTATTATACTGATTTGAGTAAGTTAGAGCTAGTTAAAAACAAAAAATAGTGTGCGAAACATTACGCTGATTTGAGTAGGTTAGAATTAGTTAAAAGACAAGAGATTAGCGGTAGTCGCATGCTGACGCAAACGCTGTCACGGACGTACACATCTATGTAGACAAAATTCAATGTAGTAGAAGCAGCAGTTTTTCGCGAACATCTCCGAAACTGAGACCGCCTATTATATACAGTATAGGGAAAAGTTGTTCCGAATAATTTATTTATTTATTTACTTACGGGTTAATTCCCATTAGAATATAAGAGAAAAAAATGTAAACATGTTTATGTAAAATATAAATCGGCCGAATATTGAAACTAACATATAACTGGAAAATACAAAAGAGAATAACAAAATGGTAATTACAAAACATTATGAATTTGGTTTTTAAAAGACTGGATAGAGCCAATAATGGCGTTAACAACATATTTCAAGGTTCATAATTACCGAATTTATAATTTGTATTGCATATGAAAGGCCGAAATATCGATTCAAAGTGTTTATTGTGTCAAGTACCGCATAGCGGATATTTCGGATTTTGGGTATTAAGAGGGTTAAGAATAATGGAAATAATTTATTCTTAATATTTATTCTGAAATTATTTTTAAAGAGTTAAGAGAACTTATAAATAACTTTTTCTTATTCACTTCGGTAACAACATTTCTATGTGCAGGAATTAAACATTTAAAACGATTACTACCGATCACACATAAATAAAGGCATTGTGACATATACATATACGTTCATACGAAATACATTCTTTTCGGGCAGAAAGTTAACCAAATTTCATCTGCATTCTAGAGTCGTAAGAAATGTCCTTCACTGCTTGCTGCACTCAGTGTTATTTACTGGCCGACCGAAAATCTTGAAAATCCACTCTAGCGTGTACTTTTTACCTCGGTCAAGAGTCGATGCCCGGGTGCACCTGTGCAAATGGGCACCGAGAGTCACTTTTACGGCGTGGTTCGACTTGGTGCTTTCTTGCAAATTATATTCCTCCCACCCCTCCTCCTTCGGGCCACACTTCCGTCTGCTTTGATGCGCCAGCATTTCTCTTCCGGGTCAGTTCGTTTTCTCTTGGCTCGCCTGTAATGACCCGTGCAGGATTTTACTCGACGAGGAAACGACGGTTACGCGTGAAATATTTCGTAACATTCGCCGTGGCAAATACGCCGGCAGTTAAACGTCCACCACTTTCCTTGAAAAATTTTCTCTTCGTTTTGTTTATTAGACACGAATCGCTGAATATGCACGGTGATGTTATAAAGAGGCGTAACGGTTTTTTGATAAGAAAATGATCGATCCTACAGTGAAAAAGTTGTAAATATCATTTATTCGGCGTGCCTTGAGTTTTTTTTTTTATTTTTTGAGAACCGATTTCATCCAACGGTTTTGAAATTTTAATGCTTCATCCTCAGACGCCGGTGCTCGGGTCCATTTTGACCTGTAAAAGTTATCAATCCTACAGTGAAAATTGTGAATATTTTTATTTGGCATGCCTTGTGCTTTTTTTTGAGACTCGGTGTCAACCGATGGTGTTAGAATTTGAACGTTTAATCCTCGAACGTTGTTATCTGGGTCCATTTTGATCCATTAAAATTATCAAGCCTACAGTGAAAAGGTGTGCATATTTGTTATTCGGTGTGCCTTGAACTTTGTTTGAGAACCGATTTCATCCAACGATATTGAAATTTTAACTGTTAATCTTTGAATGTTGGCGCCTGGGTCCGTTTTGACCCATAGAAGTTATAAATCCTGCAATGAAAGGATATGAATATTTGTTGTTCGGTGTGACTTGAACTTTTTTTTAGAACCGATTTCATCCAACGATATTGAAATTTTAGTGCATAATCTTCGGACGCCGGTGCCTGAATTATTGAATGATATAGAAGTATATAGTTCAAGTATACAGCGTAATTTAGCTAGTGTATCTCATTTTATTTTTTGAATTAGATGTTTTTTTAACAAATCGCGTTGATTGCCGTCCCTTCTCCTTTCATATAGTAAGCAATATTAGGTGAAGTAGGTACATGTTCCATTTTTTATATATAAAGGGTTTCTGGTAGCAACGAAACAT